ATATAAGTAAAATAAAGAAAATAATATTTGCAAAAAAAAGTCGGTAGGAAAAGTTAGAAACTTGATTAAAATTGATTAATTTACAACAAAGCAATTGATTGTGTTGTATTGCGATGGAGGGGGGCAATTGGCAATTGGGCACAATGGCGTCGCAGTTTCTGGCGGCTGCTCTTTGATATTTACGGCGAAAATTCATGCCGCAGCACACACGTACAGGTTAAATCCTTTGAGCCTAACGCTGCGAAATGTTGAGTAGCTCTGGGAAAATTGGCAGGACGCGCTGTGCACCTTGATGTCTACCCCGGCGGGGCAGCAGCTGAAGGCGATCGCCGGGGTAGACGGGTAAACGGGGAAACGGGGAACGTAGATGACCCAGCTAATTGGAATCTTCGGTCCAAACACAATTCTCGTTGCCAACTTTACCCAGCCCCGGCCATTCCATTCGTGTGTGTGTGGGTGTGTGGGTGTTGCGTTTTCTGTTTGTGGCAGAGCCATTTTGGCCATTTTGCCGCTGGCTTCATAAATTTTACAGACACTCGCGAAACTGGCGCCGTCTTTTAACTGTTTTTAATTAAAATAAGAGTACTGTAGTCGGCTGTATTAAATTGAGAGATACTCAGCCTGGTAAATAAGTGCAAATATCTGTGCTATGGCAATTGAATTTTTAGTGGTGCTCAAGTTACTGAGATATATACGTGTATACTGATGTAGAATTGATTCTTTATTTAATAATAATAATAAAAATACAATTTCGGTATTTATTTGTCAGCTGATATATGCCATTATTATCGCTTGCCATTTAAATTAATCAGCTCTCAGATTAAGAAGTAAATATAAACTATCAATAAATTATATTCGAATCAACTTCAATTTGATTCGATTGCCTAGTCAATCTAGGAAATTATAAACTCTACCCATTTTAACCATGGTATTATTGCAGGGTATTCAAAAAATTACTTCATTGATAATGAGCTGTGAGTGTGAGTGCGTATGTTTGTATGTGCCTTATGCCCAAAGGTGTTTTATGAAATTAATTTCCACCTTTTTAAACAATTATTTAAGGGGAATCATAGCATCGATGTATCTATAATTACATAAAAGTTTATAATTTTCACGTGAATGCTATTTAAAATATTATTGAGGCACAATATTGAGAAGCGATCGAGCATTAAAACGAAAGCATTTTGCTGACATCCCACATATAATCAATTGCAGAGTATTAGGCAGTCAAGCACACACTCATCCACATATGATACTTTTTTACGACTCGACTGTCACTTGAAAACAGTTGTCGGCTTTAATGGCCCGCAGAGAGTAAAAGCCAAATTGATTGGCAATTGAGGCGCTGCTGGCGCTAGGGCAAATACAAAACTTTCTGCCAGCCAAGAGTTGCATATATTATCCCTTTAAGCCCGGACCGAAAACAAATTCAATAAAGCTGCTTCAACTTCAACTTTTTTGTTTTTTTCTTCGATATATTCGCCTGAGGGTATTGTCATGTTATTTGGCTGCTCAGCCGTTCCAGCAAACTTGAAATATGCATTGAAATGTTTGTGCGTTTAAGTCAATGACTGGAATTTATGTAAATTCTCATGGCCTGCTCAGCACTGGCCAAAAACAAAAACCAAACGAGGGTCAAAGGCAAAAAGCATTTGAGTTATGCGCTCAACTTTGCCAAAATGGATTTCTTCATAAATACACATATACATATACACGCATATATGTATATTTCTGTATTCATATACGCGCCATGAAATTATGCGGATATTTTTTCGTAAATTTTCAGTGTCCTTCGAGCTTGTTAGGCGCTTAATTCAGTAAATGCTTTTTCTCGTTGTTCCTTAATAAATTGCCTAATGCCAATGAAGAATCATTGAACAGCAGCTAAATTGGCCACTTAACCCTTTTTCTTCAGCTATTTTTTGCCTCCAGTTTCATAGGGAGAGAGGGATAGAGAGAGAGAGAGAGAGAGAGGTAAAGAGTACATCAATTAGACGCTAGCTCGCTGGGCTGCTGTCAATAAGTGAAGCCTGCTTGAGTAGGCGGCTAGACCCTGTGATCTATCAGCCAGACAGGAGGAGGCGACGGTCAAACTCGTCCCCTCGCCCCCTCGTCCCCTCGTCTTCACGTCTGCAGCCTTTGTCTGCGGCTGACAACAACAAACAGGCAAGGATTGAAAGCGGCCGCGACACAGCCAACAACAAGTGTAATATGTCAATTGAAGGACACACTTCGAAAACAACAAGTACACACACACACAGAGACACACACACTCACACACAGACACAAAGACAAAAACAAACACTTGACTATTTATTGCATTGTTGTTTGTCTGCCCTGTCGCCGCAGGATATGCTATGGATATTTGCAAAATATTGCAGCGACCATAAATTGTTGGCCCCCACACCCTCCCTCCCTCGCAGCACATTGTCACTTGACTTGGTCCGGCTGGAGGCGTCTCCCCAGCCACTGGGCCAAACTACGTGACACACAAATTGCCGGCGAGCGAGCTCTACAAATTCCATCTGGCCGGGCTCACATTTTGTTATTTCTTTTATATGTTTATTTATTTAACGTTTAACTGAATAATTGATTAGGCTGCTTAACAGTTACGGCTTTGTTTGGCTTTGCTTCTTCTTGCACGCGATCCTGCGGCACGTCGGCTTTGCTACTTAAGCGTAATGTGATTATTATGAATATTAAATTTGATTGCCCTTTGATTTATTATCAGTTTTAATGGGTGCTCAAGCAGTTATAAACTGTTTACAGATTAAGATTTCTGCTGATGCCCACGGCAGACTATATGGGAGTAAATATATTGACTATTACATATATTTGAATTTAATTTATAAGTTTGCATTAAAATTTGTGTTTGACATTTATCTTTTGAAAGTACAGGACATTGTAATCATAAATACACTGTAAATAATTTGTATTAAAATTAACTTAAGAACGAGGGGGACTTTGGAATATAAAGACTATACTTTATACTGACATATACATTCTAAATAGGAATAATCTTTACTAAAGACTATTCTAATTGCTTTACGAGCACATTTAGTTTATATAATTTATAATTACAGTCGAGTGTCGACAATTTGTAGCCCGATAAATCGAAAATCGTCGTAAATCGAAAACAAATCTATCGTTCTCGATAATTCTCGATTACTTTAATTTCTGTGTAAATCGAAAAAGAAAAAAACTGATTCCCTTGCCATTTCGAATTATCTTAGCATAGCATACAATTTAATACTGCTACAATTATCTAAGATAATATTAGTACTGAGCCGTTGCTCATATGCAATGCTAACAATTGTAAATCAACTATGAACTGAAGCTGAATATGGAATTATATAAGTTTATATTGTTGATCATACTTTAAAGCCATTCTCTGACTTTCAGCAGATTTTCTAGCCTTGTCAGCCTCAAAACTCTCTGGTTTGTATACAAATGAAAATCTAGTTGAAAATTCATATGCAGATAGCTAGTTGTAGTTGCTTTTTAAGCTTTCCATTTTCCATATTAGAATATTTTTGTTATTCCTCTTTAACCACTACTACTACTACCAGTACTACTACTACCACTAATACTACTACTACTACACATACACACGCACAACCACTCATACTCATATATAACATAACTGAGATTATTTGTATACCTTTCATTTGAGCTTAAAATTCATTTCAGCTTAAATTGAATTCATGAATTTTATCTCACACTCACACTCACACACTCACACGTACACGCACACATAGCCGAAAACAAAAAATGCCTGGCCTCCTGTTCAGAAACAACTGACCAACAGCTGTGCTGGCGTGTTCTACACCTCACTAACTAACTATTTATAAACAGTGTCTAGCTGGGCAAGTGGGCGGCTGGGTCGGCTTGCCACAGACATGTTGTGGATGCCCGGAAGCTGAGTGGCACGGCCAATGCGTGCGTCCAGCCGCAAGGAGTATAAGGGCTGTCACTCCATCCGTTGCCTCTGCCCCTGCCTCTGCCTGTGCCTGAGACTTTGCGTATTTATTTTCTAAAATGTTTGCCCTGACCATGCGTCGTATACGCAATCTGCTGCAGTATTAAAAGTGGCCCATAAATTTCCAACAGCTACTCGAAATGAATTGTGCTGGGCTGCCTAGCAGAAAGGATAAGAAAAGGGAGCAAAGTTTTATAATAGCCAATGGTCGCACACCGCCACGTTCCGCCCCGTCCCGCTTTGGAGTAAAATTCAATTTCATTTTCAATTTAATGCTGCAATGGACCACGTACCTGGGCGAACGCTACAATCTGTCGCTTCTGTTTGCCCTCTGAATTGACTTACCTGCAATGAAATGATAGAAAAATAGATACATATTTATTATGCTATGCTGGGTGGCAGCTCAAGAATTAAAAGTCAAAACCCAGCCAAGAGTTTCCCTAACAAAGGAGCAAGCCCAAGGTGACATTCGACCTGGTCGCAGGGGGCGGGAGCGGCCGCTTCTCTTACCTATGACATAGGAGTACCCGTCCAGCGTGAGGACGCACTTGCGCGTGGTGGTGCCGGCCAGGCTGCCCACACCGCCGCCAACCACCACGCTGGACGAGTACCGTGGACTGTTGCCGGCCGCTGTGGGTCGACTGCCCAGCCCTTGCGACTTGTGCAAGGCAGCGCCAGGGCTTATCGCTGGCTGCTGCTGTGGCCTGTCGCAGCTGTTGAGACTCTCGCGTCGTGGAGGTGCCGCAGTGCCAGCCAGTTCATCCTGGCGCTTACGCGCGGAGCTCAGCTCGCCGCAGGAGTGATCGCGTTCCCGAACCGGTTCATCGCGTGCTCGCGCCCGCGTGTAGCGCTCGGAGGAGCTGTGGGCTGCATCGCTTGCAGCCGTCTCCTCCGAGCTAATGTTCAGCGATTGTGGCTTATCGCGACGCGTTGGCGGCGATTCATCCAAAGTGTCGCCCATTGCGAAAGTTTGGCTCGCACTAGGATTTCTCGATTTGTTTTTCTTTCCTATTTATTTATTATTTTTATTATTTTCTTTTTAAATTAAACGCGCGCTCATTGTTTTCGAATTTGTTGGGGAAAACTTTGCCTGCTGTCGTCTACGCCAGTTGATTAATTAATTTTGTTTTATTTGTAATATTTAAATTTTTGATTGCACTCTTATTTGCTTGCAGCTTTTTTTTATGTGAACCACTTTTATATTTATATCTGCGCAAGCATAAAATTTAATTAAAACCAAACACGCTGAAATGAATCGCAATGAATGAAACTGAAACGTCTGTCAGATACAAAGAGAGCGAGCGAGAGAAAGATAGAGAGGGAATGAAATAGCTAACGAGATAGATGTTTAGTGCTCAGCCATGAAACAAGTAACAAAAAATAATAACAAGCATACGCAACGTTGTGCATGGCAAAAACTCGATACAGAGAAAAAGAGAGAGAGAGAGAGAGAGAGAGAGAGAGAGAGAGAGAGAGAGAGAGAGAGAGAAACAATGCATCATCCAAAACTGAAGCTGAATCTTTTATGAATGCTATCAAAATTACTTTTGTGCTGACATTTATTTGAGGCACTGCTTTCGTCCATTTGCGTTTCAACTCTGACCATACAGCACTGGACAGTTAAATGGATCATTGGATACAATTTTGCAGAGATTCTAGATTAAGCATTGCGATATATATACTGATTTATGTATATAGAGATATATGTAAGTCATTCATTGAATATTTTCATGGTACTATCCTTCTGGTATATCAAGCTAGTTAGGCAAATTTAGCTGACTGGAAGATAGAGAGATTTTTCAAATTTTTAATTCCTTTCAATGTATATATATTTAGCTTTTAGTATGATATAAATTGCATTGAATACTTTTTCGAGTTAAATCATAATCGTAGCTATATTTATATAAGCATTATCTCTCCAGCCTGTATCTATGCGCATGGCCAGTGCTGTAGCAGCTGTTAGTCAATATTTTGCTCTAATTGCAGTTCTTGTCCATGCTGCTGCCAATTATTTGGCTTTACACGCAAACACAGTTCACTCACAGTCCGCTGTCCCCTCGTCTGACTGTCTGGCCATTGTTTGGGCCACTATTCGATTCTGATTTTTATCGCACAAATATTGACAGCATGTTTGTATGTATTGTATGCATTGGTCATTGATTTATACATCACTATATATCTAAATATATATATATGTGCATATATTTGCATATTCGTCATAATGTCTGCTCATTTATCAGAATCAATCAATGCCAATGAAAGGAATTAATACTGTTGCAATCTCTTTCCATTGCAAATTGTATTTCAAATTTTTGCTCCATTTTAAATTTTTGCTCGCATTTATTGTAGCTTAAGAAATGTTCGAATAATTTAATTTATTTAATTTTATTTTATTTTATTTTTTCATTTAGTATACCTTTCTGTTTGTGTGCGCTCATTTCATTTTTGCATGTATTTTCCTTTGACACGTTCGCCCAATAAAACGGGTCGAGACTTTCAAGGCGTCACGTTCACCCGAATGTAGGGATAGGTGTATAAAGTGAAGGCTTTTTCATTTCTTTTCTTTTTTTATTTGCTTCACTCTTTTTTTTTTTTTGGCATGTTTACCAATTATGCCCCCGTTGCACCCCACGCAAATATGTCTCTAACTTAAAGTAGAGCAAATGTCAGTTGGAATACGTGATGTCTTAAGAAAATAATACTGTGAGTCCTTCAAATAGGAATGATTTTTAAGTCAAAGAAATTTGGTGTTGTTTTTTCATTAAAGAAGTTTGTAAAACTCGAAATGATAATCAATATTTGCTTAAAGTAATATGGACTATTTTGGTATTTTAACACTTGTTAGGGCCATCAAATCGTCGGCATAAAATCAAACGGACTTTTGTTAACTATTTATCCAGCCACGCTCTGTTTTATTAGCCATATGGTGCTGGCTCTTCAAATGGTAATAAAGTGCTCTTTAAACTCATTTTTGGAGCGTAGGCAAAAATGCTGAGAGCGTGGAATATGTATCTGGTATTAAATTTGTGTGGCCTTAAGTTCGCCTCGAAATGTTGCGCATACGCCATGTCTATCGCTTGCCTAATGATGTATCAATAACGCATTTACGACACAATTAAGGCCCTGTCTGAAATCAATGCTCAAGTCCATTAATGCCTAACCGCAAGTTATTAGCCATGCTTTTGGTCCATAAATTGTGCTATCTATGAGCCAGCGCGCCAACATAAAGATGCCACAAGGAGTACCACAAGTCAATGCACGTTGGGGGTTCAGGGAACTCGTGGCATAAATTTAAAATTTGTATGCACAGTAATAGAGCGCATAGTTTTGGCCATTTATCTGGCTGGGTTGGTCCTTTGTTGTGACATGATATCGATAAAACTTTTCAACCCGCATCAATAGTTAAACTAGCTCTCAGTTATGGTCGAAGGGTTTCGTTGAACCCGGCCAACTAAGAGCGTCCGTCTGTCTGCTGCTCAATTTAATCAGCCAGCATCATTGGCCACACATCTCTGTATATATAGTTCGACATTGTTTTTGGCTACAATTGGGTATAATGCTTATGCGTAGATAAGAGACGAACCACTGCAGGCATATCAGACAACATGAAGTATGACGAGTTATCTCTGACTCGTTGGTTATGTCTCTGCATATTCATTCCCGCTGAATAAATTAAAGATTATGCTTCAACTTCTATATCAAGCACATGGACTTTTTTGAACTTGCCATTTTCAGCGTGGCAATTAAAATCGCATTTTAAATAAGGCTTTGAAGCTTATAAAACCACTTCAATCACACTTGACTTATATGCGAGCTGTGTCGCATAGTTTTTGGGCTTCCTCATTGCTAGCCAAAACTATTAAAATCAGAGTTGTTCTCGAGGTACTGCCGTTAGTTATAGGGTAGCTTCCATTCAAGTACAGTCGCCCAGCAGTAGTTCTTAGAGATTTGATAAATGAAAGCAGCAAGCAAGGCACAAGTCAATTACTTCCTTCGGCTAATGTGCGTTGTTGTTATGGCAGTAAGAGGGATGAGCAAGGGCAAAGGCTGTAGTCAAGGCCGCAGTCGTGTCGGATAATGAGAGGGGAATAATAATGATAATAAAAAGAAAAACATCTGCAAATAATTAAAAGTATACAGTGCGCAGAAGTAGCTGTAATACCAGCAAAACACGAATGTAGCTGCAGCGGGCATGTTGGAAAGGCTAAAGGGAAATGAGGAAATGTCACTCGGTAAGTGAGATACATAAAACACAAACGAGAATAGCGCGAAGAGCATAGAAACTATGCACAAATTGCAGATACCCTTCGGGTTAAAATTAGCTACATTTGCAAAGATTTCAAGCTACATTTTAGCTAAGAATAATTAGCAAATTAATATTAAATTCATTCAAATAAAAAAAATCCCTATGATTAAATATTT